ATTGGTTGCCTCGTGCATGCCCCCAGCAGGGGATTGGGCCCGTAACCTGGGCATGTGTCCTGACCAGGAATCGAACCAGTGACCTCTTGGTACATGGGTTGTCGCTCAACCACTGAGCCACACCACCCAGACTCCACACTGTTTTCCATGGTGGCTGCACCAGTCTGCATTCCACCAGCAGTGTACTAGAGTCCCCTTTTCTCCACACCCTCACCAGCACTTGTTTGATGATTTGTTGGTGGCAGCCATTCTGGCAGGTGTGAGGTGATACCTCATTGTTGTTTTAATTTGCATCTCTCTGATGATCAGTGACTTTGAGGAAAAAATGCCACCTCTTTTTTTCTTAATTTGAGACAAATTATTTAACTTATTTACACTTTGGTTTCCTTATTTATAAATGTAGCTAAAAATAATATCTTCCTTATAGGGCTGTTGTGGAGAACTGAATGAGGTAATACAGGTATGATGTGGAGTAGCTAGAAAGTATTCAGTAAATGTTGGAGTTTATTGTCATTGTTGTTATTAGTGTTGAGTTAAATCAACCACAGAGAGAAATCTCTTCTACTTTGGCTTTTTTAAAAATTATTCAGTAGTGAGGTTGTCACTCCTTCATGAGATGGCCCATATTCCATTGTTGGATAGTGGAAAGGTCAACCAACTTAAATTATTCTGTGAGAATTAGCCCTGTTTTCAGAAACTGGACAGGAAGAAGGGGAGGGAGAAAGAATAAATTATTTTCCACAACATAATAACTTATTCTAATTCTTAACCACTTTTCCCATCTGGGATTTTTTTCCTCAAAATTCTCCCACATGCTACTGTTTAAGCACTCTCCTTACGTTCTGCGCTCTGAGGAACTGGAAAACCTCCAAGCATCGTGTGAAGCTGGGGAAAGTTTAAATTAGGTAATTTGTAAGGTTCTCTACTATGTAGTGACTTGAGTCATTTTACCAAAAAAAGAAGAAGGTTGAATTTGGTGGGGTTCCACACACAAACTCAGTGCGTGTAGAACTGAGAGAGAGTCCCGTTCATTGCTAAAGGAATTCCTGGACCTGTCTGACCCTACAGCCTAGGAATTAAACATCTTAGAGTCTGGGATCAGACCAAGGAGAATAAGTTACCACACTCCTGCCCTGTTGCAGGGACCAGTCCCATGATCCCGGGAACCTTTAGCTCACAGGAGTGATAGACGAGTTCAGAAGGTTAAAGACATCTCCAGCTGGGAAGGCAGGCTGCCTGCCAGAGAAATCCGCAGCCTCCGTCTGGCTCCCATCGCCTCCATGGCCCGATTTCCAAAAGCAGTGTCAGGCCCACCTGGAGCGGACAGCGCCTGGTGACGGCAGTGGTGGTTCAGCGGCACAGTGAGCAGCGCTTTGAAGACAAGGGGAAGGAGCCAGTCTCAACTTGGACTAAACATGTATTATTCTGACTGCATTTGGTGGATCTTGTGTTTTCACTAATAAGGCCTGTGGTAAATCCGAGTTTTGGATGGTCATGTTACATTTGATGTCAGGACTTAGCCGAAGGGTAAAGAGCAGTGGATTCGGGGGCCAGGGCACAGTGGGCCTTGGTGGCAGTTCACGTCAGTATGCAGTGTGGCCACATACTCCATGCCCAGCCTGAACAGCAGTCTTGGGAATGCACATAGGTGTTTACAGAACAACTCAGAGATGAATCCCTGTGGAGGACCCGGGGTGAAGCCGTCCACAGAAGCCTTTCGTGCGGTCTGAGGCATTGCTGTCATTCCAGAACAGTCGCACTTTTAGCACTGTAGCAAGTTGACACCAGGGCCCTCGTTCATTTTCCCTGGGGCCCGCATCAGACAGCCCGCGAAGCAGCTGGCAGCGCGCGCTCAGCAGGTGCCGTGCTCCGGGGGCGAGGACCAGCTAATGGGTGTTAAAGAGGAGTTTCAAATAGAGACAGTGCTGAACAGAAGGGCAGTGTGACAGGGACTGCAGCTGTTGGATAGGACGTTAACAGCCTGCCCCTCCAGTGGTTTCCTGTGGGCCTGCGCTTGATCCCTCCCGAAAGCTGCTGGTGGCAGGACGGGGGCTGGTTCCTTGCACGTCCCGGAAACGACGACAATCCTTGGCGTCTGGTTCTTGAAACCAAGCCAACTCAGAACAAAGCTCTGACGTCTGTCTGGCCCGGACACCCTTTTTTCACCAGAGGTACTTGGACCCCGTGGAGTGCTGGCAAGAAGAGGATTCCTGTGTGGCCACTCGCTCTGGTCAGAGCGACATCTCCAGAGAGGGCTGTTTCCTCGCAGTTTCTAATGATGTCACACTGCGGCCTGTGTGCCACACAGGTGTGCTTTATTTGTGACTGAGCATGAATATCTTTGTGGCAATTTGTTCTGTAAAATTTAAAGTAATGCCTTTTCTTGATAAGTCAGGGTCTGATTCTAATGAATTTATGTCTCCTCCTTCCCTCTCCCTTTTTAATTTTTTTTATTTTTCATCCTCACCCGAGGACATTCTTGCATTTATCTTCAGATAGAGCAGGATGGCAAGAGGGAGGAGGACAGAGAGAGAAACATCAATGTGAGAGAGACAAATCAAGTGGCTGCCACCCACACGAACCCAACCGGGGCCGGAGACAAATTGCAACCGAGGTATGTGCCCTTAGCGGGAATCGAACCTGGGACTCTCCGGTCTACGAGCCGACGCTCTAACCACTGAGACAACTGGCCAGGGCCCTTTTCACCTCTAGAAGGCTTCACTGTGCAATACCACCCAAAGACGGGCAAAAGAAATGAAAGTAAAATCAATAGCTACTAGCCAATTATATACATTCTTGAAGCAGATTACACTCTCATAACCTTACAGTACTCTCATGTTTTGTTTATAGAACTAAGAAAATGCTTGTAGGGAGCTGCTGGGTTATCTGCAGGAGAGACACTAAGTACAGAGCAGTTGTAGTAATCATTTGTATCAGTTTAAAATACAGTTCGTGTGTGGATAGGGACGAAGACTAGAAAACACTTTCTTTGGTTGGTAAAAGAAAGAGGAATACTTTGGTAATGAGAATGATAGATTTGTTTGAAAGAAATCAAAGATACGACTATTTGGAGAAGTATTTTTAGAGTGAGAAAAGGGGAAGAGATTGCATTTTAGAGTGAGGGTGTAATAACACTGTTCATGGAGAATTTATCTTAGATGAGTAGAGGGTGCCCACATTCTTTCCCTCCTGAGAAATAGAAGTCACCGAACATCTTTCTCTGTTTCTCACAAGGGGATGTAATAGTGGTGATCCTGAGAGTGGACACTGGGATCAGGCCCTTTCAGATGCCGCTTCATGATTGTCTTTGTCCTTCCAGTTTCTGTAAGCGAGTGTTGTGTTTGTTATGAATGTTTAAAAGTCAAGAAGCTGCCCAGCAGGTGTGGCTCAGTGGTTGAGCGTCATCTCATGGACTGAGAGGTCCCAGCTTGATTCCCGGACAGGGCACATGCCCGGGCTGCTGGCTCCCTCCCCAGTGAAGGGCGTGCAAGAGGCAGCCGATCGATGTTTCTCTCTCACATTGATGTTTCTATCTCTCTCTCCTTCTCTCTCTAAAAAACCAATAAAAATATATTTAACCACAAAAAAAAAAAAAAGGTCAGGAGTCATTGGTAGTAAAATAGCTGATGTGTATCATGACCCCATGTTGTTGCTTTTAAATATAAATGCTGGCCTCTCCCTTTTGGCACATGTTAATATGGAAAAATGCATAAAACATAAACTACCTCCAAACTTCAGTAGTTCACTATCTCTGAGTGTTGGACTCACCTATGACGCTTGTGTTCTTTTATGTGAGGCTTTTTGCTTTCTGAATGTATTCCACCAACCAAGAAATACATTTTCAGAATGAGAAAGTTAAAACAACCTGGAAATTTTTTTTTTTTAAGTTTAATCATGAATGACTGAGCCAGAGTAGTTTGTTCCTTTATTTTCTGTAATACTTTTTATGTTAATGAGAAGCGGGTCAGTCACTGTTTTATGTACCATACATTTTCCCCTCTGACACGTTTGGCAGCTCCAGCAAGAAGCAGCTGCCAATTTTAAATGGGAAATCTAAACAGCTAACTTTCTAACAAACTTTGTAATATGTGTCCTGCACAATTTAAAGAACATAATAATTTCAAAGAACAGGCAAGTTGCCCCCTTTTAATAGTCTGTTTAGAAAACCAGTCATTGAATCCCAAATGCCTAATCTCAATGAGTATAATTGTATGTTGTGCTGTTACTTCCACACCCAGATTTATTTCAGTTCCATCGGCCTCAAAAACAGCCATGGTTAAGCATTTTCTCTGTGCTAGGAAACTGAATAGAATTTTTCTCGTTTGAAATACTTGGAAAATGTCAAGGATGTCTTACATAAAACTTGTACAGGGGTCTTTATTTACACTGTCACATCATCTTTTTCTACGACAGAAAGGAAGTCAAAGCATAATTAATTAGTATTTTTTTAAGAGTTGAAGAAATAACTTCTAACGGTTCATAATTTGGGGAAGGGGTGGATGTCTGAGATAGGGTTCTCCGGAGAAACAGTCATTAATCGGGTATGTGTGTGGGCGGGTGTGTAGAGAAAGAGAGAGAGCGGGGCTTGGTGAGTCCACAGTCTGCAGAGCGCGTTATCGGGCTGGAAACCCAGAAGAGCCAGTGGTGTAGCTGAAGTCCGAAGGCATTTTGCTGGGGGATTTTCTCTTGCTTGGGGAAGCTGGGTTTTTTGTTCTATTCAAACCTCAACTGATTGGATGAGGCCTACCCATCCAGTGGAGGGCAATCTGCTTTACCCAGAGTTAACCAATTTACATGTTAATCTCAGCCAAAAAAAAAAAAATTCCAAGGTGACACATTCACTGTTACAGGGAATACTTTAATACTGCTGAAATGTAAATGTTTTTTCCTGTTGCGTTATTCTTACTCAGTTCTGCCCTTAGACCTAGAGGCTCCTGCTTTGAGTCCTGTTTTTAGAGGATCCTGCTTTGGCCCTCACCCAGTCATGTCCCTCCCCACAGGGCAAGACCGAGGGACCAACGTTGTGCCTTCACCAGCAGCCCAGGCCCCCATTCCAGACCACCTCCGGCTACCCAAGACCCTGGCAGTTTTTGCTCGGACAGTTGCAGGCCCATTTTCAGGGCCTGCATGGGCATCTGCCCAAATTCACACTCATTACTGTCTGGACTGTGTGCTCACTGTTTCTTCTGCAGGGGTTGGGTGTGGCCGTTTGTAGGCAGGGGTTGCAGAGATGCGTGGACTGGAATTTCCACCTCCGTGCAGGTGAGGCTCCCGGTGCAGAATGGAGCCTGGGTCGGGAGGAGATGTGGGGCGGGGGGAGGGCCGTGTGCCTCTTCTCTCTCTGCCAGCCTCAGGCAATCTCTGAAGCATCCGAATGCTGAACGAGAGCTTCCAAGTCATTACAAAGGTGTATTGGCAAGATAGGAGGATGAAACATACTTTATATTCTAGTCATCACTTTGTTAGCTTGATTATAACTTAAATATTCAGATGTATGGTCTATGGTCTTTCATTTCTACCTTTTCCCCAGACCTCCAGTGTCCAGGCAGATCTTCCCTATTGAGGGCAGGCAAATTCAGAGAATTAGAAGTTGACTATTAAATTTGAAATCTGAAGTGTGTTGTAGTCAGGGTAGTGGTTCTCTCTAGGGAGATGAGGTTATGATTGGGGAAGGGCCTGTTATGTTCCGTATCGAGTTCGGTAGTGATTACGTAGATACTTATTCTAAGGACTCTGAGGCTTTGTGCATTTCTGTCCATGGAAAATAGATCTTCCAATAAAATGTTTTTTTATAAAATTTTGAAAATATATTTTTAGTTAGACAAAATTTGTATGTCAAGAAAACCTTTCTTTTCAACGTGTCCACTACAGACACGTTGTGTATTACCTCTGCCCTAAAAATCTTGGCCCAGTCATCGAAATAAAGAAAAATTATCTTAAAAATTCTAGAAAGCAGCTAAGTAAATTATATCATTTGTTTGTGGGCTTGTGTATGTGTACACGCACACACATGCCCATACTTAGGAATGTGTATGTTTGATTTTTGTTCTCATGACCTCAGCCAGACAAGCAGCCGAAAGAAAACCTCTCTCCTCTTTCTCAGTAGTTCCCGTGGGTTACTGAGACAAGGTATTTTCAAGCTTTTTTCATTTGACTCAAGTCTAGCTTATCTGAGAGAATGAGCAATGATAATAAAGGCAAAAGGAATATTTACTTTCTTCAGGTTAGAGAACCATCATGTGGGAACTTGGTTCTGTAAATTTATGACAAAAACTTTTGGGTACAATTTCTATATCTAAAAATTCATTGTCACAGAGGTGCTCTCTTCTTCTCTTTCAGGTGTCCTCTTCAGTAAGTAAAGCAAGTAATGAAGAAGGTATTGTATATTTGGGTTCTTGAGGAACTAGATGTGTAAATTTATTCATTTACAGTTAGTGTAAACCCACCCCCAAATACAATAGATTAATCTCAACATTATATAAATTAAGTAAAATACTTTTAAAAATAGTCATTAAATGTTTCACAGGAAATAGCTTATATCCTAATTTCAGAAAATGATCAAGAGTACACTTATTACTTTTAGGCTAGAAAATGGCTGATTATGTAGTGACTTTTTCTGGTGCAGTAGAGCGATTCCAGCTAGTTCTGATAAACTTAAAAAGACTCGAAATGTCTGATTTGGGAGATTTTCTTTATAATCTTCCATCATTCTAATTACTTATTTTAACTGAAGATCTTAAAAATCAAAACTAGTAGTATGATTGAAAATGCCATATTTTTTACTACCCTTATGTTTGAAGCTGTTTTGAGAAACAAGTAGAAATGTTCTGTGGTCACAATTTCAGAATACAGGCAGGTGCGCATGTCATTTATCTCTCAGTATTTGACAAGACCTTTGGCCTTTTGCTTTAATTTAAAACATTAGGAGAATTATAGAGCTTACAAATTTGGAGAAAAACGGAGAACTATTTTCTGAGTCCAGTTCTTGGATGTTTAGAAAGGAGCATGTCCATAGAGCCGATTTCCTGGGAAGCCATCCCTCCTGTGGGGAACTAACCCGTGTTTCTCGGTCACTCACCCAGTTTGGGTATTGGACAGGCAGTCCGGTTTCACAGCTCCAAGATTTTTCTCGACTTTTCATGCTGCAGCTAGGGTACTAACTTCTGTGTATTCAATAGAGACTAAAATGACCCAGAAAGAAGTAGGAAAGAAGTGGGAAGGCTCTGGAATGTTTAATGTAGTTTTATATAAGACTTGCTCTAAATGAGAGAACGTAAGAGTTTAAATGGAAGTAGCTTTAAATAGAGAAATGTGTCACGCTAAGCTGCTTGATTGTTTTCATCTGCCTACATACTTCCTAAAGGTCTAAATTAAATTTGTCTTCTTCTTCCTTCCTCCCTCATCACCCCTTCCCTAACACCCTTCTGCCCCATTTTAAACACAGAACAAGTATGGCACTTCCTTGGCAAGTGATGGGAACATTTGAAGTTCTGCCATCAAGATTCCAGCCCCCTCAGGCCTTCCAGCCTGCGTCTCCCTCCAGCGAGGAGATAGGCAGATCCATGCGGATTTGCTGAATTTCTATCGAAACTTCATTTTCCCCCAAACTTCCTGAGATATGCACTATGTAAATAAACACTGCTTTTGAATTAGTCTTGTCCAGGCATTTATTGATATGAAAAAGATATCATTTAATTTCATAGTAAAAATTTAGAAGCATTGAATTTTGACCAGTTCAAATGTCTGTGCCTGAAGGAACCCAAAGATTTTTGTTGGCATGTATTTTTATAGGGTGATATAAAAATTACAAGTTTAATACATTAGTAAGATTCTGGAGATATTGTTTTCATTTTCATACCTTATTATCCCTCTTCAAGTCCATTGCGGGTGGAGACTTTATTTAGCCAGCCTCTGTCTACTTATTATTCCTTTGTAAACATATTTACATTTTAAGGCTTTTTCCTATAATTTACTGTTTTAGAGGTCCCAAGGTCTTTTTGAGTCTCATCCATTTTCCTTAGTTTCAATTTTCATCTCTATGTTGATGACCCCCAAATCTACATAAGAAGCTCCTGTCTCTCCCCTGGGGTCTGCCTATTGGACATCTCTTTAAATGCCTTTGACCCCTCTGTGTCATCAACACAGGACATTTACATAATATGCTTTGTGGTTTCCAGAGCGCTAAGATAATAGTTACCATTTCTTGAGCATTCGTTCTAAATTAAGTACTGTTGTAAATGTTCTGTGTGCAAACATAGATACTGCCCCCTTTATATGAGGCTCTGAGAAATTCTATAACTTGCCCAGATCACATAGCTTGTAAGTTTGAGAGCCAGAGTTAGAACTCACAACTGTATGGCTGTGAATCCAGTGGTTTTTCCGCTTCCTTGTGTGAGCTGCTTGCCCAGTACTGCTCCCTTTTGCTGTAGGCAAAGCTCAGAGTGTGCCTGTTTCACAAGAGGAAGCAGGCGCAGAGGTGTGATTAGCCCGTGTGAAATAGTAGCGTCCCCTGAAGTGTCTTTGGGAACGTGTGAACCTCTTTAAGGGATATCAAAGAATATAGGAGAGAATTTATTGGTTTTAATTTTATTGATATATTGATTTTTTAATTATGAAAATAACTTTTTTTAACCCTCACCTGAGGATATTTATTCCATTGCATTTCAGAGAGAGTGGAAGAGAGGGAGGAAGTGAAGAGAGAGAGAGAGACAGCAATGTGAGAGACACATTGATTGGTTGTTTCCAACATGCAGCCCCAGTGGGATTGAACCTGCAACTCAGGCATGTGCCCTTGATTGGGATTGAACCTACGACCCTCAGGTATGTGGGCTGATGCCTTATCCACTGAGCCGTACCAGCCCGGGTAAAAATACAATTTATAGAAATACAGAACATGGGGAACAACTATCATTTTACTAGTTGTCAACACGTTGAATTACCAAAGGATATGTAAGTGGGCTCGAGGCATGTGGTGTATTAGTCTCCTGAAAGTTGGAAGAAGAAGCCATGTCTGGTGGGCCTCTTCGCAGCAGGGCATCTGTCAGTCACATCCCGAGTCCTGGTTCCCCGAGAGGAAACTGCTGATGCTTCCTCTTCTCTGTTCAGAAAACACAGTACAGGGGGCTCTTGCTCCTTTTTAAGTGCCTGGTTGCAAAGAGTTGAATCACACAAATATTAGGGGCATTTGATTACATCGGTCTACAATATGTCTCATTATGATTTTAATTAGCCAACTCTTTCTTTAGACATGCTTTCTCATTAATGCTATTTTAAAATGTGTTCATTCAACAATTACTTATTGACTGTCTGTCCATATACACTGAGTTCTCACTCACGTCATCAATAGGTTCTGCAACTTCAAGTGAGACCATGTATAGTGAAACCAGTTTTACCGTAGGCTAATTGATACAAACACAAGTTCCCGTAGCATCTCATCAATGTCATAACAAACGACACCGAGCAGAATGTGAATTGAGGACCTGCTGTGTGTACCAGGTACCATTCCAAGTTTTTAGAATACATTACTACAAAACAAAAATCCCTGCCAGTGTGGACCTTGCATTTTGTGTGGGAAGACCGATCATACACATGGTAAGTAACTTACATGCTGTGTAGAAGGGAAAGAACAGAATAAGGGAGATCAGCAATCCAGCTTGTGTCCAGGGTTAGGAGTATGAATGGAAGTTCTGAATTGAGTAGTTCAGGGCAGGTCTCATTGGGAAGACTAGAGCTGAGCAGAGGTTGAGAAGTGAGAGTGGGCCCGTGTGGGTCAGCAGAAGAGACCCAAGGAGGGGAAACCAAGAACAATGGCTCCAAGGCCGAGTGTGACCCACTTGTTAGAGGACCAGTAAGGAAGCCCCATGGCTGGAGGGGAAGGAGTGGGGGAGGAGGAACGGAGGTGGCAGGGAGATTAGGGCCTTGCAGGCTATAGGACAATGTAAGGACTTGGCCTTTTACCCAGATAAAATGAGCCATCAGAGGGTCACTCCAGCTGATCTGTTGACAATAGATTGTGCTGGGGTGGGGGTTGGGGACCCTATAGATCAAGGATAGAAACAGGAAGATCACTTACAAGGTTTCTACAGTAATTCAATACATTTGCTGTTTTTCCTTGGAGATAACTTTCTTAGTATAAATTCCCTAAGTGGAGTCAAAGAATAAGAACATTTTATGACCAAATAGATTTTCTTAAGGGTTATTCCAAGTTATATTGCCACCAGCAATATATGAGATTTCTAGGATAGGATATTTTATTGTTGTCACTGTTATTAATAGGTTTAAATGTGTTCTATATATTTACTAATTATATTGTCTTTTATAAATGTTCTGTTTATTTGCCTATTTGGCTTCTGAATACTGAAGCCACGTTTAAATCGATTAGCCCACAGCCCGTCCAGAGCTGCTCAGTTGTGCACTGGAAGGTTGCCGGTTTGATTCGCAGTCAGGGCACGTATCTGGGTTGTGGGTTCTATCCCTGGTTGGGGCATGTAGGGAAGGCAACCGTTTGATGTTTCTCTCTCTCTCTCTCTCTCTCTTACTCTCTAAGCATGTCCTCAGATGAAAATTAAAAAGAAAAAAGATATTAGCTTACATTCAAATACAAAAATCTAGATATGGGCCTTGGAAATGTTTATACTGAGTTAACTGGGAATAGGGTGAAATATACTAATTTTCCTGTAGACAGAATTAGCTACAGGAATATCCTTATTATGTTACTGCTGCCTGGTCTCTGTTAAAATTTAAAACGGAACATAAAGATAAATTTTAAAGCTAATACTCTAACTTTAACATGGTAAAACTAGTACAGTTTTGAAAGAAATAATGAGTGTCAAATGCCTCCTATCCAATTAAAGCAGCTAAAACAGGTGGCAGGTGTGCATCTGTGGTCCTCGATCGTCTTGGCGGTTGGCAAGATCCAGGATTACCATCCTAAAGCAAGGTGTCTCCCTACTTGGGGGGTAGGTCGTGAATTCTAGGATTCAGACCAGAATCTCATGAAATTGGGAGTAGTTTTTCTGCGAGTAGACAAAAAGCGCTGAGCTCACGGTGAAATCAACAAGTAGACTCTGGTGTTCCTTCCTGTCTAAACCAACAGCAGCCCACGCAGGGATGCAAGCCCAGGGCCCTCTGTGTGCAGGAGATCCCTGCAAGGTCCCATCCCCGTCAGCAGTGACGTTGCCCTTTATGTGTGTTGTGTCTTGAGCTCTTTCTTGTACTCAGAGTCCATCTTAGCTGCTGTCTTTTCTGCAAAACCTTCACATTGAAATCAACCTTGTCCTCCTGTGTGGGAGACTAGCACTGTTGATTTTCAGCTCTATTACAGTATTTAGGTCATTCTGGCTTACATTAGACTTGTTCAGGGTCCCTATTGCTGGGTTATGAACACATTGAGATCAGTAACTGTGTCATGAAAATGTGGTATTATTGTTTCACACATTAACAATTCACGTTTGTTGTAGGAAACCAATACAGCACCCTGTGAGGAAGACAGATCTTCTTTCCATTTTACTTAGTAAGTCAAGTTTAGAGGTGTTAAGTGAATTCCTAGAAATCACAGGCCTTCTGCATCTGAAGTTATATTGCTGCAGTCGAAAGCATCACTCTGTTCTGTCCCAAAAGCCCATGTAAGATCTTTGAAATAGAACCTTAAAGGGGTGGGGAACGTCTGGCCCGCAGGCTGCATAAGGCCCACAAAATCAGTACCAGCTAACATCACACCTTCACCAAATTAGTCTGAGCAACCATAGCAGGCTAATTTTTAAGTTGATAATTTCGTATGGGCTAAGAATGATGTTATAAATATCCCAATGTCCCTTGGTAGAAAAAGGTTCCCCACTCCTGCTAGGGATCTGCGATAGAGATATAATATCCAACCTAAATACTTGTACTTTTATTTTATTTGTTTTTAATGTGTACTCACAAAACTTACAAATCTGAAGGTGAAAATATAAGTAATTCCTTTTTTATCTAAGTTGTGTAAAAAACTTAGCCTCCTAAAATTTTACTCATCATGAGATTTTTCTTAAAATCCTTTCTAAATTATTTTATTATCTTCTTGGCTATGGAGCCCCCAAACGAATAAACATTTGCCTAGTGAGGAGAAAAAAGGGAATTCATTTTTTTTTTTAAGCATTCCATATACCTAGAATATTTTTGCTTTCTGGAACAATAATTTTTGTTACCTATTCCCTGGCCCCCACAAATGAATAAATAATAACCAGAAAGTAAGATTCTCTGGGGAGGATCTTATTTATTACTAGTATTTAAGGCATTTTGCGAGTTCTCACACCGGAATCTTCTGATCCCCTAGAAAAATAGCTTCACTCATATAAAAACAATACTTAACTGTGAAAATACCAAGACTGATCATCACATGTTTCCTGCTGCCTTTTTGTGGAATATGAGGCAAAAATAAACATAAAATGTTTAAAAATAAAAATAGGCTCAGGGCTCAAAGGTCAAAATTATTCCTTTTTTATGTAAGTTGTTCTCATTTTCCTCTTCCATGCGTTTGCCCAGGGTGAGCACCCACCATGTGATTAGTGATTGTGCGTTTAGGGAACACAGTCCATGGAAACAGTGACAGCTGTGGGGTTGAGATCATGGATTTCTGTGTGAAAGGATGCATGTCACATAGAGCTGCTGTTGTAGT